CACACATGTGCCACCCCCAATAAGAAATGGAAAATGAGGGGGCTGGAGAGATGGCTCAGTGGTTAAGAGCACTGACTGTTCTTCCAAGGTCCTTAGTTCAATTCCCGGCAACCACATGGTGGCTCACAACCACCTTGAATGAGATTTGGTACCCTCTGCTGGCGTGCAGGCAGAAGACTGTATTCATAATAAATAAATAAAATCTTAAAAAAAAAAAGAAACGGAAAATGAAAGGACAAATACTGAGTGGGCCTTAGGAAAAAGGGAATAGGTTGTAGGAATATTTTTCTAAGAAGACAATGCTTCCCTTCAGACAGACTGACTTAGAGGAACCCATTGCTAATCTTTGTGATGTGTTCTTGAAAAACATGTCTAAAAGATGAGTATCCTACCTTTCCACATTGTAGCCAGTGTATTAAGGATTTACAGCTGACAGATATTTCTGAACTGCCTGTCAAGAAAATTAAGTGTAAACTAAGAATGACAAGAGGGACCCTGTCTGTGGAGAAAGTGATGGGAAGATATTTCTAAACAGTCTTTTGTTGCCGTACTTTCTTGAGAAGACCTGTGGTACACTTTCTCATGGTTGCTCCTGGGATCACCTAGTTTTTTCCAGCTGAGTTCTTTGGACCTGACTCTGTAGACAACCTGGGAAGACAGTCTTCCAACATTTTATTTGCCTTTTTCTTCCTGCCCTTCAGGTCATGTGCTCAGCTAAATTTATATTAAGGACTTTTACTTTTCATCATAAAAACTAACAATAATTGGAAAATAGTAGATTCCCGATGACGTACATTCATAAAACTGGACATGTATAAATTTCAAGTATTTTCTATGTTCTGCTTAGTACAGGAACTCAAAACAAGGCTTCACATGCTAAGAAAGCACTTTACCAAGATGAGTCCCTAGCCCCAGTCTAAATTGGTACCAAGCACTTAGAATTTTCCAGATGTTTTATATTGCTCTATGGAGAGGTGAAAGTGCCTCTTTTCTTATGAACTGTCATAGCATTTATTTTTGCTTGGACCCTGGTACCCAAAACTGCTTACTCCTTCTGTTAGCTCAATAGGCTCCTTATTCTGTTGGAATCCCACAGATTCCTGCCCCCCCAAAAGATAATAATAAAAACAATGCTTCAAACAACTGTAAACCTTTATTTAATGGGTTGCTGTGTTTTGTAAAGCTTAGAGCTTTCCCATGGACTGCCTACCTTGAGAAAAGTGGTACATTCTCGTGATTCTGATTAGAAACAGCTATTTCAGAGGCTATGGAGGTGGCTCAGTCGGTAAAGTGCTTGCCATACGTGTTTGAGGCCTGATGCCTGGTGCATCTGTGTAATCCCAGCTCCAGAGACAGACTGGCTCTCCAAACACCTTAACTGAATCAGAGAGCCCTTGGTGAGAGACCTGGTTGTCTCAGCAAAAACATGTGGATGCTTCAGAGAGAGATACTGGACATTGATCTCTAGCCACCAGGTGCATGTTCGTGTACATGTACACAGGTATAGGTAATTCATCGTTTGAGACTGATGTGGAGTGTGTACAAGTGTGTACAAGGTGCTTTAAAGTACACACAGCATTTTGATTGAGCTAACAGGTAACCTCAATTATTTTAGTGTTAAAAAACCAAGTTTTTTTTGTTTGGTTTTGTGTGTGTGTGTGTGTGTGTGTGTGTGTGTAAATGTAAGAGTACTCATGTAGTGGTGCATGTGTGGCAGTCAGGACAACTTTTTTTTTAAATTTTTTAAAAAATTTTATTTATTTATTATGTATACAACATTATGCTTCCATATATATATGCACATCAGAAGAGGGTACCAGATCTCATAATAGATGGTTGTGAGCCACCATGTAGTTGCTGGGAATTGAACTCAGGACCTCTGGAAGAGCAGTCGGTGTTCTTAACCTCTGAGCCATCCCTCCAGCCCGTCAGGACAACTTTTGATGCCAGTGTTTTCCTTCCATCTTGTTTAAGACAGTCATTTGTTTACTGTTGTATATGCCAGGCTAGCTGCCGCTCAGCCTTTCCGGGATTTTCCTGTATATGCCTCCCATCTTTTCTGTAGGCACTCTGGGATTACAGATATGTGCTATCTTATCTGGCTTTATGTGGGATCTGGAAATTTGAACTCAGATCTTCTTGCTTGCAACACAAGCACTTTACATACTGAACCATTTTCCCAGTCATGATTGTTTAGCTTACCATTGTTATGTTCGTATGTCAGTAAATGCAATTCAGGCCCATCTTTTGGGAGGGAGGGGCAATGTTGAGAATTGATCACAGGATGTTGTGCATGCTGCATATCATGACCACTGTGGTGTGCTCTAAGTTATGCTCATCATTTTTAGTGTCTATATAATATTCCATCATGTGTTTATGCCACATTATTTAGCAGAACCGCTATTGGTAATTTTTTAGGTTATTTTCAGTTTTTTAAAAATTGTTATAAATTAACCTATGCTAATATTTCAGCTGTATACCATATGCACTGGTGTGCTTCTGGAATAAATTATGAACAGGTTTGCCGAATCAAATTATGTGTGCAACTGAGGGCTTTTGGTATAAATAGCCATTAAAATGAATTTTATTTTTATTTTATGTGTATGGGTGTTTTTCCTATATGTATGTATGTGTACCATGTGCCTGCAGTCCCTGTAGAAACCAGAAGAGGGTGTTAAATATCCTGGATTGGAGTTACAAATGGTTTTGAGTCACCTACAGGTGCTGGGAATTGAACCCAGGTCATCTGGAAGAACAGCGTGTACGTTTAACCACTGAGCCATTTCTCCAACCCTATAAGTAGCCATTAAAAACAAAAGTATCAACTAATTCACATCCTTATCCAAAGTATTTCAAGACGTTGAAAATAATCTTTCCCTATAATCCATGCCATACTTTGTCCTGCCATTTTATTTTTGTACATCTGATTGGCAAAAGTGTTATGTTTGTCTTTTTTATTTGTATTTTTTAACATTTTTTAAGTGAAGCTAAACATCACATCCTGTGTTTATTGGCCTTTTGTATTTCTTTTGTTCTTTGGAATGTTTTCTATTACTCTTTTTAAAATTTTTTTTTATTTTATGTGTATGAGTGATTACCTGGATGTATGTCTGTGTGCCATGTGTATATCTGGTGCCTTCAGATGAGGGCATTGGATCCCATGGAACTGGGGTTATAGATAGTTGTGAACTACCATGTGGGTGTTGGGAACCAAACCTGAGTCGCTTTTCAGCCCTATTATTCTTTGTATCCATTTATTATTGTTACTTTTTTATATCTACTTAATAATTTTATGTAATTGTTATATATAAACATGCTTTTTCTTTTAACTCTTCTGTTTTAGCATAGCATTTCTCAAGACCTGACTTACAGGACACTTGTAACGATGGGCAATTCTTAGACAGTGGTCCTTAGTCAATGTGTCTCTTTTCAGAGGAGTTATGTAGCTCAGTGGAAGTGGTAATTTGGAATCATCCCCAGCCCTACTCAGGTTTGTCTATACACCAGGCTGTGTGGTGACCATTTGTTGATCATTTATTCGAGATTCCAGGGCAATATATGTGACCTTAAATTTTTGTGCTATCTAAAATGATGTAACATTGGCAAAACTGGCTGGTGATACTTTTAGAACCATTTATTTTTAGTTCAGTATGTTTGACAGAGGTAGCCTTGTCAACTGCAATTCAGTGCCCAAAACACCGAATGCTTGATGCTATTTTTTTTGTATATATTAACTTATAATTTACTCATAGATTCCCATGTTTGAGAAATGATGTTCATTTTGAGGAAAAAAAATACGAGTTAAGTTGAAGACGGAGTTTCTGTTCTGCTTCTGTTCTCCCAGAGCTGTGCTCACCACCTCAGCTCTGTTTTATGCTGCCATCAAGCAGCTTGTAGCACACTGCCCATAAACCATTTTTGTCTATATGAGTAAAAGCTAAATCTGCCATGCAGCAGCTCTGCAGCTTGGAGATGCAGCCTCTGTGTACCATAGTGGAAATCTGCCATGCTTTATTCAAGCCTGAATGCCACAGCCTCTCTGCATCATGGCCTGTTTGAGACTGAGAGACCAGGAAGCCCATTGTGGCTCCGTTTCTGTACATTCAGAACTCCTTATAAGCTTTTGTCAGGTTTTACATGGACATTCTCACCTCACATTGGGGGCACCATTTGAAGGCGGAGTTTCTGTTCTGCCTATTCCCACAGCTGTTTAGTCCCAAATAAACGCACAGAAGCTTATATTAATTATAAACTGTTTGGCCAATGGCTCAGGCTTCTTATTGGCTAGCTCTCTTAATTATTAACCCATTTCTATTTATCTAAGTATCTCCAGATAGTCTTGGCTTACTGGAGAATGCCCAGGTGTCCTATCTTCCTGGTAGCTGCATGGTATCTCCTTGTCAACTCCTCTCTCCTTCCTCTTCCCAGCATTCTCCTAGTCTGGTAGCCCCACCTATACTTCCTGCCTGGCCACTGGCCAATCAGCATTTATTGGTTCATCAACCAATAAGAAACATATATTCACAGCATACAGAAGGACATCCCCCCCCATCATCAAATGTCAGTGTTTGCAATGTTGAATTAATAAGAGGTTTAATCTCTTCCTGGACCTTTCACAGTAACTCTCTACCAAGTCAGTTAATATAAAAGTGTACTGCTAACAACCAAAACACATATGATAAATTCATAATTCCATAGTCTAGTTTACAACAAATATTACAAGGAAAAAGTATTCAAAATGGATTATTTACATCTTGTGATGGAATTCTCCACCATGCATTAGATACGCAATTTAGAGTATAAAATTAGCCTTTAATTATTATTTTAAAACTATTTTTAGTGTGTATGAATATATCATATGATAAAATAGAAAAACGATTACTTTCTGAATACCCCTGTATTTTTCTGTTAGATCAGTATGATGTCTCATCAAATATTTTAATGTCAAGTCTGCAATATTTTGAGAAGTGATTAACTTTTCCATTTTCAATACTTTTCAGATATTTCAACAAGGAAGAAATCACTCTCCTCCTAAGATGGAATCTGTGATTTGGGAATGTGGATGATCAACTTGATATGTTGGCCAGATGTGCCCTGTGTAATAAAATGAAAAGAAGATACAAGATGATGTCATTTTCCAATATTGTGAAACCAAAAACAAATGCCTTTTGTGAGACCAGGTTAACAAACCTCTGACAGTACAAGAAGTTTCTAACTGTTTGAAGAACCTAACAGATACAGAAGGGTGCTTTCAAGCTGAGACCTGCAGTCATATACTGGTAGATCTGATCATCGAGTCTCATTCAGATCCAGGGAGAATGGCTATGAGTTGGATTGTCTTTTATCTTTGGCTCTTGACTGTGTTTGTGGGGCATATAGGTGGGCACAGTTTATTTTCTTGTGAACCTATTACCTTGAGGATGTGCCAAGATTTGCCTTATAATACTACCTTCATGCCTAATCTTCTGAACCATTATGACCAACAGACAGCAGCTTTAGCAATGGAGGTAAGACCTGAGCTACCATTTGTCATTCCAGAAAATAACCCTGATGACTCACCCAATGTATCTGATATAAATAATAGGAAAATACTGCTGTTTTTAACTATATCTTATACATTTAAAAATTTTATATAGTTTGGCTCATGCTATAATAGATTGAAGAATTTGTGTTTGGAGAAATTCTCTTGAATTTATTTTGAGACATGTTTTTACAAAGAAATTTGTAACTCTGAAACATGTGATCATACTTCTTCAGAGATTACATCATTCTTATTTAAATAATAAATAACTTTTATATAGATAGCCGAGTATAATAATATGATATATAGTTCAATAGCTGTCTTAGGGTTTCTATTTCTGTGTACAGACACCATGACCACAGCAACTCTTATAAAGGGAAACATCTAATTGGAGCTGGCTTATAGTTTCAGAGGTTTAGTCCATTATCGTCATGACGAGATGTCAGACATGTTGCAATTTTCCAAATATTTGATGATGTTGTAGAGATTGAACAAAACATTTTCTGCCCTTTATATGACTATGCAAGGTTTAACTAATAAAGAGATTTGTCATAGATCATCAGACAAGGATATATGAAAGGAGGTATTGTCTGCTGGCGGTAGGTTGGCTTCTGGCATACTAGTTGTAGTAGTTTTGCTGTGTGTTAAAGACTGAATTAGAAATACCCTTATATCTACTATCGTTGTAAAGTCATAACTTCTTTGGAAGCAAGAAACATGTCATAAAGATGCTTGTACTTAGGTTCTGCTTTTGACTCTGTCATGGAGTAGGTGTAAAACTTTGGACAGATTGCCTAACATTCCTTCCTACATCTTGTTTTCTTATTTAAGGCAACAATAATGGAAAAAAAAAACTATATGGGCTTGTTAGGATTAAATGAGAGATTTGTAAGTAGCTGCACAATGCTTGGTCTACAGATTTAATTCTATTTCCGATTCTGTTTCTAAATTGTCTGGAGAGTCACTAGGAAGGTGATGGACTTGGCCCCAGGTGCACTTTTATCATTCCTTACATGTTCATGGGACGTTCAGGACAATGACATGGTAGGCATTCTCTGCCTTCTCTAATATGTCCACATAATCCATATAGTTTGTCAGTGGGGTTGCCTCTTGGAATTTCTGACAGCCTAGGAAGAGTCTGTAAGTGAGAAGTAGTTTTGAAGAGAAGGCTTCAGAGATTTGATGGAACCCTGAGGAAGTTGTCTGCTACATGGTTGTCATAGCAGAACAGAGATGCCACTGACAGAGTCATCAGACACAGTTGGAGAGTGTGAATTTCATACTCATAGCCGTCTCTCAGCTTAGTAACTCTGTGTTTAAAAATAATTTTCTAGCAGCTTAAGACCCTGGCTTGATCCCCATACTAGGAAAAAAATTATTTTTTAAACACAGAATTACTGAGCTAAGAGATGGCTGCTAGAAAAATGTTGCATCAAACCATTTAATGTTTTGAGGAACTCCTGTACTGCTTTCTGCGTGGCTGAACTATTTCAGATTCAAGGTAACACATAAGGATTCCTAATTTCTCTCCTTGCTTATCAGCATTTACCAGCCTCCCTTCTTCCTCTTAAAATTTTTTTTTATAACAGCTATCCTACTCTAACAGATACGATGTCCTTGGTTTTTAGAGCTATATTGGGTTAGGTAGCATTTCTTCACTCAGTACTTGCTGATGGACATTTGGGATTTTTCCTGTCTTTTTTTTTTTTTTTTTTTCCTTTGGTTTTTTGAGACAGGGTTTCTCTGTGTAGCTTTGGAGCCTATCCTGGCACTTGCTCTGGAGACCAGGCTGGCCTCCAACTCACAGAGATCCGCCTGCCTCTGCCTCCCAGGTGCTGGGATTAAAGGCATGCGCCACCAACGCCGGGCTTTTCCTGTCTTTTGTTCTTATAAAAAGTGCCACACATGTCTTTTCATACTTTTACTAATATATTTTTGAAATGAAATTCAAATGTTCAAATCATGGAAAATGCTTTCATTGGTACTTTTAAACTCTCAATAGAAGTTGTACTATATTTTTGTTCCCCCTAGCAATGCATGAGAGAACCTGTTTCTCAGAATTAGCAGTAGAATCTGCTGTTTGTCTCTGTAGTAGACTGTCATTGACAGAATACCTGCAGAAATAACATAAGGGTTATTTTGGCTCACAGTTCAGGGACTTTGACTTCATTTTGGGGGAAGGCATAGCAGAGTGGCTCAGTTCATAGCAGGTGTTTGTGGCCCTGCTACTCACATTGCAGTGGGCCCAAAAGCAGAGAGCATGCCAAAGCCAGCAGCTGAATTTAACCCTGGAATGCACTTCCAGTGGATCTGTGTCCTCCAGGTAGGCTTCACCTCCTACAGGTTCTACAGCCTTCTAAAAGAACCACTCCTGCTGGGACCAAGTGTACAAAACAGGAGCCTCTGGGGACTTTCAGATTCAAGCCATAGTTGTATTAAACCAGTGTGGTAGCTGGAAAATAGCATCTCATTGATCTTTAGCACCTACTTTACAGAGACAGAAATTGCATCATATATGAAGGCAGTAAAATGAAGATTAATTACACTGTAATGAAGAGGTAAGAGTAAGGAATTTGGAGGTACAGTAATTCAAGCCCAAGTTTTGCTACTTATAAACAGTGAGGCTGGGACAGAGTGTCTTACTGTACCATCATTAGAATGCAATTGGTTAAAAAGATCAAACAAAATATGAAAACTACTTTTCTATAATATGGTGCCAGTCCTTGCCCAGAGGATCCCATTTGAAGCATAATAGACATTTGTAAATGGCTTCTACTCTAGACTAGTCTCAATGGTTTGCAGGTTTTCCTCACAGTTTCACAGAACTTCCTACATTCCTTGACCTGATGGAGTCATTGCAAATGGAAGGCTCTGCCAATATCTGGGTGATACCTTGCTTTATTCTCAAGGCCTGGCTTGGGTCTAATTTCCTTGTGGAATCTAGGATGACGAAAGTTAGCGCCTCTTACCGCCATACTTAGCAGTATGCTCTGTTTACCCCTGTTCAGTGTGTATGCTTTTTTTTTTTTTTTTTTTTTTATATTTTACCTAAACTCTTACTATCCTGGGATTGAAAATATTTTGGTGGGATAATGAGGCTGATCACACTTCCAAAGCTACCACCTGCCTATGGACACTAGTGTAATACTTCCTTGTCTTTTTTGTTGTTCAAAGTGATTTGAAGCTTTTCACATTATGTGTTTGTATTTTATAAATAATGTAGTTAGCAAAAGAATGAAGCAATGTAACTTTCTTTTCTCTAGGATCTTGTGTTGTTTCTGCTTAAGTCCACCTTTGCTTGTTCAAATTCTGTTGTTCTTGATCTATTGTTAAGTTAAAAAAAAAAAAAGTACAGGAGGGTGTGTGGCTTAACCAAAACATGTGTGATGCTGTGCAGGCTAGTTTTATGTCAGCTGACCCAAGCTAGTCACCTGAGAAGAGGGGACCTCGACTGAGAAAATGCCTCCATCAGATCAAGCTGTAGGCAAGCCTGTGGAGCATTTTCTTAATTAGTGATTGATGGGAGAGGGCCCAGCCATGAGGAACAAGCCAGTAAACAGTACCCACACCTTCATGGCTTCTGCATCTACTCCTGCCTCCAGGCTTCTGCCTTCCTTGGGTTCCTGTCCTGACCTCCATCAATGATGAACAATGAAATGAAAGTGTAAGCTTAATAAACCCTTTCCTCCCCAAGTTGCTTTGGTCATGGTGTTTCATTACAGCAGTAGTAATCCTAACTAGAGCAGAGACTAATATAAGAATCTTCTAAATTAAAAAACAAAAGAAATGCTTTTTCTTCCAGTCTCTTTGGCCTTGGGTGGATAAGGCACCTAAAATTTTCTTGTAGATTCAGACATGGCAGCATTCAGTTTATCTTGAAGATGTCAATTAGTCATAAATGTTCTGGTTTCAAAAACAAAAACAACAAAAGCCATTCTACATACAGATAGTGGAGAATTATTTGCAGTTATTTCTGATTTTAGGAACAAAAATAACAGCTTCTGAAATTTTGAATGTACCCTAGTGTAACAGTACTGATCCACTTTTATGGATAGGCCTTTTAGAAAATAAAATTTCTTTAGAGTTCATGGGTTTTTGTTTTTGTTTGTTTATTTTCCAAGCCAGGGGTTCTCTGTGTAGCCTTGGCTGTCCTGGAACTCTGTAGAGCAGACTGGCCTCCAACTCAGAGATCTGCCTGCCTCTGCCTCAGGAGTGATAGGATTAAAGGTATGGGCCACCACTACCCAGCCAAGTTCCTGTTTTTAAAATTTATACATTCATTGTCCACCATATTTACTTTCCTTATTATCTTTTGTTTAGGCTAATGTTTATAATGAGCTTTTTTTTTTCCTCTAAAGAAACAACAATGTATTGAAATGACCTATTTTATTATATATCTCTAGCCCTGACAGGTGTGGCTTTAGAAACTAGTTTTGTGACTAGAATAAACCAATTAAGAAACTTCTAAGTTAAGTTGGGTGGTGGTGGCGCATGCCTTTAGTCCCAGCACTCAGGAGGCAGAGGCAGGCGGATCTCTGTGAGTTCGAGACCAGCCTAGTCTACAAGAGCGAGTTATAAGACAGCCTCCAAAGCCACAGAGAAACCCTGTCTCGAAAAAACAAAACAAAAAAAGAAACTTCTAAATTAAAATTTCTGGTTTTAGGAATAAAAAATAACAGGTTTTAGAAATTTTGAATTGGTTTTCTTATGATAAATTACATTTTAAAAATCCCTTGTAATTCTTGCTTTAAATCAGATTATTAAATGGAGTAGAATTTGACTTGTAAAGTATTATTTTTTAAGTATGTCATAATCCAGAACTCTCCATGGTAGTGGAAATATTAAAAGTTTACTCACTAAAGAGTCAACCCTATGCACTGTTTTAGGAAGTCCACTTTGCCTTATGAAAGTGGATAGATTCCTGTGATAATGGTGACCCTGTTAGCTGTGTAGACTATCATGGTTCCTTTTTTTTTTTTTTTTTTT